GGCCACAGCTTGAGATGAGTCAGCATAATATTAGCTGCAGCAGTGAGAGGCACCGACAGAATCATTCCCACAACTCCCCATAGAAGCCCTAGGATCACGATCACCGGATCAATCTCCAGCTTCTTTCCGAAAACTTTCACCTCAACGAAATTTCCTATAAACATGTGGAAGCGCATGGAGAGAAACACCGCCAGGAACGTCTCCATGGGGTTCATCAGGACGGACGGTGTGATGGCGATGATACAGATCGGAGCAACGGACTCGATCATAGCTCCAAAGTTGGAGATCCAGTTAAGAATGAAGGTCAGCATACCCCACACGATGGCCAAACCCACGTTGAGCGATACGTACACGATCGTAACCAGTAGAGTGACGAACAGTGACAGGAAGCACTTCAGCGTCACAAACCGCTGGATATCGGGGTCGATCTCGGCCAGATGCCTCCAGCGTCACTTGCTCGAGTGCGGGTGCAGAGGAAATACGTCAAGTAGATTAGCGTCATCACCGAGAGCAGGTCCATCGTCTCCGTCACCACTGTGTGGGCCGCCTTGTCCACGTTGCCATGCAAAGTTGTCGTGATGTTCACTGGAAGTCCGATCTGGTCGCGAATATGCTCCACATTTGCCACCAAGTGGTTGTATCCAGTCTGATAAGCACTGGCGTCCAGCGCAGCACAATGATGTAGCCCAGCAGTTCGAAGAACACGCACATAAAATGACCGCCACGAGAGATGCAAGGCACGCGAACAACCACGCGACGTCCGTCGAGCGTGACGGCCACGTGACGTGCAAACGCAGAGGAAATACTTGGATGGCATACGATGTTTGAAGATTACACGATGTAAAAATAGTTTTACGATTTTGTTTTTACGAAGATTTTGTGGACCACATCATATTCAGAATTAACTGGTGGACAGAGAAGCTCTCACTGCTTGAAGCTTGGTGGAAAACACAACCTGACTTTTGTGGTGCTCTTCTCCAAACAAAAGTCTCTATCTCTTGATAAACAAAGCCAATCGCACTCTGAAGAGCAACAATAATGACCTCCACAAGTGGTAGACTATTCACTGGGTACGATCTGAGTTCATAGGTCATCCAGGCTTAGCAAACAGATCATTCGCATTCACCTCAATCGTACGTCTTCACGATTTAATCAAAACTGACTCACCATCGGGATTGGTAGTCCCACAATGATGTAGCTGACAAGTATTTCGATGCCAAGTGAAAGTACTTTAATGAGCCTCAGTTTGTTTAGAAGCGCACGTAAATCAGGGCAATTTGTAGAACAAACAG